CTGTTAGAGTGAACTAAATAAGGAATTAGTTTGAGTTCACACTGGCTGATATTCTTATAGAATTGGTAACAGATGAAGGGATAATCAAGAGTATGGGCGTTCCTATCAATCTAACCTAATCTATACCATCTTCTTCTAGGCCCAAGTGGACGGGCAAAGCAAAGAAGAAGGATGATAATAGGACTAGGCTAGCACAAAACATAGGTATCTAAAAGGTTAAAGGGAATAAGGCAGTGTATGTTGAGGGCGAATGAAACTGTTTCTTTTGCCGTTAACTAAGACACTAAAGGACAAACTGTCTAAGCAATGACGTGGCATAGGAAAATATATATTTAATCATTGAGCCATGTTATGTGGTTGTATCTATTGATTCCTGATGGATAGATTCTGGAGCCACTAAACATGTTTGCAATTTATTGTAAGGATTTCAGGAATCTAGAAGCCTTGATGATATGGATATATATTTATCTTTTGACCTGATGCCAAGGTTGTAGTTAAGTCAGTGGGAGTATTACATCTGAAATTAGGGAGTATGAGGATATTAGTATTAGAGAACTATCTTTATGCACAGAAGTGAAACGCAATCTCATTCTTATTTCACTTTTGGCTTATAAAAACTAGATCGTTATTTTGTAAAACTGGTTTTATAAAATTGAATAGATATGCGATTGCTTCTGGTGCATTGAAAGATGGTTAATATACTATAATCACAAGCTCGTAAGATTTGTAGGATGTAGAAACTAATGTTGCATCTTCTAGATTGAATGTTAAGAGAAAATTTGTTATTCCTGACTCATTGTATTTTTGGTGTCTATTTTTGGGTTGTAATCAATCAAAATGAGATTTAAAGATTGGTTAAAGAAGGTTTATTACCTAGTGAGGCAGAGGAGCCTAAACCAAACTTGTGAATCTTGTTTTGAAGGATAGATAACTCTAAGGGCTTAATCAGCCAAATGAAATAGACATAAAGAACAATTGGAGTCGGTACACACGTACACGTGTAGTCTTATGAACATCCAATCAAGATTACTCACGTTTTGGATAAATTTACCTGTTGCGACACAAGTCTTATACTTTTGGTATATTCCGAGAGGGTCAAGACTGATGTGGAGCACAAATTAGGTAAACTTATCAAGACACTTCGATCTGATCGAGTATTTGAGTATTTCTTGGGATAGTGCAAAGACTATATGGTCAATGAGGGTGTTGTGTACCAGTTTTCCGCAATTGACGCTAAATTAATTTAGGTGTCAAATAGGAATAACAGAATTCCACTTAACATGGTTAGATCTATGATCAGTAATGCCACATTATCTCTTTCATTTAAGAGTTTAGTGTTAATGACATCGATGCGCATTATGAACTGCATTCCATCTTAATCTGTCTCAAGGATACCGTTGAGCTGTGTTTTTGACTAAATATTAGTTTGAATCATATGCACATATGTGGTAGTCTTGCACATGTGCGTTTGATATGGACAAGTAAGTTGGAATCAGATCATAGGCATGCTAGATTTGATAGCTACTCTAAATGTCACTAAGATGGATTATTTTATGATCTCAAAGATAAAAGTTGATTGTTTTCACTTACTGTTTATCTATAGGAGAATCATATTATGAATCACATACCTAGTAGCATAATGTTAGAGAATTTGGTATGAGTACCAGATGTACCACATGTGAACACACTTATTATAGAGATTGAGAATAATATATGAATTCCCTATTGATGCGTTAGCATCATCTACTACACAGATTCTTGCATCGGTACATTGATGTAGTGGGAGGATTATCATCCAATTCGACAGAATCATGTTTTTAGGTGAGACCATTATGGACATCCCTGTTAAACATGAGTTGGACCCAGTAAGCTACACGGAAGCGTGAACCGATGTGGATACAGATCGTTTTGGTGAGTTACTATGAAATCAGAGTTGGAATCTATGTATTCTAATAAATTCTGGGATCTTGTAGAACTTTCTAGTAGGGTGATTCCTATGGAAGGCAAGTTAATCTACAAAAAGATACCAGAAGATTTCTTAGTGAATAAATCATGAGTGTACAAGGGAATGTCATTATTTTTCTTAATTCTATATATTGATGACATCCTACTCATTTATAATGACGTGGAAGTTTTGTCATCAATTAAAAGGTAGTTGTTCAATTACTTTTAAATGAAGGATTTTCAAGATGTAAGCTATATTCCTAGGATCAAGCTTTTGCAAGATCAGGTTAAAAGGAAAATAGGCTTATCTTAATAATCCTGCATTGATAAAGTTTTAACCAGGTTTGGTATGCATAACTTAAGGAATGAGTTCTTGCTTTATTGATATGGATCGCTCTCTCTAGTAAGTAGTTTTTCAAGACTAGCAGAGGAGATTGAGCAAATGAGACTGGAACAATATGTTTCGACATATGAGAGTCTCATATACGCCATGGTCTATACCAAACAGGACATCCGCTACATAGTAGGGATAGTCAGTAGAGATCAGTCCAATACTGGACTTGACAACTGGTCTATTGTGAAAAATATCATTAAGTACCTAAGGAGAATCAATGATATCATACTCATTTATGGATGTGATGATATGGTCCTAGTCAGGTATGCTAGTTCTGATTTTCAATCAGAAGTAGATACTATGAGGTTCATGACTTAGTGTATGTTCACTTAATGGAAGGGAAATCAGTTGGTAGATTGTCAAGCAGATTTCAACTGTTGACTCAAACCTGCAGGTGGAATATATTGCAGCCTTAAAGGTGGCAATATAAGCCTATTGGTTTGATCTCACTGATTTAGAGGTTGTGGAGCATACTAGCCTGCCTATCGAGCTATATTGCGACAATAGTGCAGAAGTAGTCCAAACCAATTACCCAAGGTTCCATAGATGAACAAAATACACTGATAGGAAGTATCATGTTCTACATGATATTGTCCGGCAAGAAAATGTACTTGTAGCTAGAACATTGCATTGGAACACAACTTTGTTGATCCATTATCAAAGGTGTCATTGATCAATAATTTTGATCATCATCTGGATAACATTGGAGTTATGTGCAATTTGAATTGGCTATGAGGGCAAGTGGAGCTGTTGGGATTTATATGCCCTGGCATAGCAAATCTTGTTTGGATTAATTGACATATGTTCCTGACGTTTCTGAAATATTTATGTTTTATACAATTGGTGAATTTAATGTATTATATTTCGATTCACTATGAAATTGATAGTGTCCATGTAATTACAAGAAATATTTATATATATGTATGTGATGGCAATCAATGCATGATATATAAATAGTAATTATAAATTGTTCATAGTCGGTAATTATGGATGGACTCATAATTAATTAAGATTTGAACAGGATCCGCGTTAGGTTGAGATATATTGCGAGAGCCGTCGTATGCAATTACTCCCTATCACCGTCATGGTATTTGACTCTTAAGCATGAGAAAAGTATAGACTCTTTTATTAATTAATAATTACTTTGATTTGTTCGGCGGATTCTTCGGGATCCATAGACTGACACTTCGGGTAGTTATGTAATTAATAGTTAGAGGGTTATATTTTCAATATTTGCATCATTGCTACTTGTATTTATTTTGTATTGATTATGGTTGATCACAAAGTAAATTCGAAGGCCTTCGTATGATTTTAGACAAAATGATTTATTATATATTTATTTATTAAATTATTATTTTTGTCAAACAAATATTTTATTGTGATCGAGCCAGAAATAATCAAAGGTATCAAAATAAATATATTAATTAACTAATTATGCATAGAGGGGTCAAAGTGCAATATTGACTTAGAGGTTATTTATTATTTAATTGGAGTTCAATTAATTTCTTTTAGTGGAGTAGAAATTAATTTATGAATTAATTTAATTGGGTCCATGGACCGAGCCAATCATTAATTTATTGTAGGCAATAAAATAATAGGCCCAATGGATTCTCACTCATAGCCCAACTTGATATTGGAATCATATTAGATTTGAGACATGTAAATTAGAGATTGAGAAGGATTCGTTGTTTCCTTTTCTTTACCTTTATGTTGCCTATAAATATACATGGTCTATGTATATTTTAAGGGTGATTTAGATGAGAGGAAAAAAGGAATAACTTTTCTCTCTCTAGAAAATTAGGGTTTATGTTCTCATCTAATGGAGGCTCCCACAAGCCTAGTTTTTCAAGGTCATTCATGGAGGCTTATGAGTAATTCCTAAAGGCAAAACAATTACCAAGAAGATGGAGATCCAAGGAGAAGGCATCTTGCTAAGGGATCTACAATAAGTGAGAACATTCACTTTAGAGGAAAGTTTTAAAGGTTTACTCAGACCTTTGATGTAAGTATTCAATCCATTAATTAAATGATACATCATATTTTTATTTTTGCATAAAACTTGTCTCTATGTGATGAATCAAGATCTATGAATCAAAATCCCTCGAAAAGTTTTTAAAACTTGCACGTTTCCCAAGAATAGCAACATTGGAATTAGATTTTTTATTTTTATTTTTTCTGGCGAGTGTAATGACATTTTTTATAATATACAAATCGTTTTGTTTTTATGAATTAAGAAAAGAAAAAAAAAAAACTGATGCCCTCCTACTAAGAGGAAATCTTCAAATCGACTTCACAGCAACTTTAAAACAAAATATGAGAACAATGCAAGAGAAAAAGAATTGCAAAACAAACTTTATTTACTGTAAAATAATTCTCTGCAACTAATCTCTAAACCCTAGCAAATTATAAGGCCTCGTATATAGTTTCTTCCTCCCCAATCCCGACATTATATTAGCTAATTATTAAATATGAAATAAAATCAAAATAAGAAAGCCTGAAAATCAGAAAATGAGGTTGTCTGACTGCATCACCATTCAGGCTGCTTCATTAGCTTATTCTTCATCAAACAACTAAATTTATTTTTTTCTAATCAAGGTGGGTGAAGATTGGAGATATATACATACAGACATATATATATATATATAGATCTATGATTCAAATGGAAAAACTGAAAACTAGGATCCCCTTACTTTTTAAAATTGCATAAAATAATCCAAGTTTACCCTGACTCACAGAACCACTCATGCCACCTGACTAGAATTCCTGGGTTTTTTCACTGTGTTGTCATTGCAAGTCATGATCATAATTTGACTATCAACAATGCTAGCCTCACTTGCATACACACACACATATATATTACAAGGTACACATTTTTTTACATCAGCTGCAACCATGATAGTTCTCTACTAACGTTAGCTTTACATCCCAAAATTTGTTCTTGGAACTGCATGAAGATTAAGGCCTCCATCAATGTGAAGTGTAAACATGGTTCTATAAGTCACATTTTTCATGTCGTCGGCTAACTTGAACTGGAAGAACTGCAGGAGAGCCGTTGACATGATCTTCATTTGGCGATAAGCAAAGTCTTTGCCTAAACAAATCCTAAGACCAGCCTGCAAATCAAAAAACAAGTAGAAACATTACTAGTGTTCAAGCAAACAGAGTGTCAATTGCTAAAAGATGTTCCATACATGAAAGGATACGAATTTGAATGGTGATTCAGGCTGGAAAACCCCGTTGTTGAGCCATCTCTCAGGTCGAAAATCCTCAGCATCGTCGCCCCAAATGTAAGACATCCTCCCCATTGCATAAGCTGTGTAGTATACGCCATCCCCTTTCTTCAGTTTAAAGCCATCAGGTAGAGTGTCATCTGTTTCTGCAACCCTCCCATCCTTTTAAAGTAGTACACAAAAAACAAGAGTATAATTAGTACTAGATGGGTCTGAAGTAAAATTTGCCTAGATAGAGAAAACTTAAGAATATGGCAAAGGTGTCAGGAACCTCCACCCTGTTGCCCTCTCTATGCTCACAGTTCTTAGAACGCGTCGGCACAGTTAAGAGGCGTCCACACATATAAGTGCTAACAACCTCTCCCTCAAGTGATGTGGGATGTCACAAAAAGCCTGACCCACCCATATTTGATGGAAAGGTTAGTTTTTTATTACATAGAAAAACTAATTTATCCTGATAATTAATATATATGTATGTGTGTGTAAATTTTTTCGAGGTTCTTGGATAATTTACCACTGGTACTGCAGGGTATAGCCTCAAGGTCTCTGTCAATGCTGCATGAAGGTACTGCATTTTGTCGAGTTTTTCATCAGTTATGTTGGTGACAAACTCATCAATGCTAATTTCATTCCCTTGACTACTACTGATGACATCTCTCACTTCTTGCGCGATTTTCTCTTGTATCAGTGGATTCTTGGAAAGCATATAGAAGAACCATGAAAGAGTATTTGCAGTGGTATCTTTTCCGGCAATCATAAAGTTCAGGATGATATCCCTCAGGTACTTATCATTCATCTCCTCTGGATCCTTCTTGCTTTCCACTAGAAACCGTGAAAGTATGTCCTCTTTGTCATTCTTGTAACATTAAAAAAAAAAAAAAAAAAAAAAAAAAAAGGTATGAAAAATCACCAGCATACAATAGCACATTTCATGAAAATAAACTAATTTACTAAAAGCATATGGCATTTGGAGTTAGAAAATTTTACTAAAAGCATATGGATGATGACTCTGTTTCATGTATTTTGATTCGATTTGTATTTTAGATTATATGAAAACATAGAAAGATACTGTGAAATCCGGATTGGCTCTAACACGAGCAACAATTTAGTACTAACAAAATGACAGCAATTTTGCACTCACACAATCTTGTTGCATCTCTAGCTGTTTCCTCTTCGTCCTGATTAAGCTGTGAACAAAATCATCGATGAATGTGATGTTCTTCTTGAGGGAAGCTTCACAGCCGATGTTAAGAAACCGCTTTAGCTTCCACAGTGGATCAACATAGCGCCAATATACCAACGCATTTGAATCATCGAAGGCCTTGATAAATGCACTGCCCTCTTTGCTTGATCCTTCAAGGCAGTTCAAGTCCACCCCAAAACCGACTTTGAATATGGAATCTAAAGTGCATCTCATTAACAAATCCTGCATGAAAACCATAGGTTCTAAAGCATGACCAACATAACTTCTTACCTATCTAAGTCTTGTTTCATTTAAATATCTTTTCATACAATTTTGGCTCTAAAAAAGACATAATAATAAATCATATATGAACTCTACGGATAAATATCAACGCAATTGTTTAATCTGTCTACTCTGAGGACTGAATTACTTTTTTCGAATTTTTTTAGACAATCTTTCAGATTTTCATTTGGAGGCATATCGGTCATGATAATATCCAATGAACTTTTTGTTTTAAATTCAAGACATTAAGGATTGAATTTGACAGAGGGTTAGAACTTAGGCCATATCTATGAGGTTATCCCAAAATTTTCTTTAAGGAAAATGCCCCTATTTGTTAGATTATAGTATACCCTAGAATAATATTATAGTGGACCTTGATTATGAATTGAATTTCAAGTATAACAAAATCAAAGTCATTAAAACAGTACCAAACAATTTTAAGGATTTGGAGTCCACAGATCAATAGTTAATGTGACAAAGAACTCAAAAGGAAACAGAACCTACTTTTTTCCTAAAATTAAAATGTAACAGTAGATAACCTTGTGAGACTGATAAAAGTTGTAAAGAACAAAAAGACATTAGCTTTGCTTATATATAGCAATCTTTATTAGCTTTTCCTAAATTTATCGGTTTCAAATCACTTACTTGTATGTCAAAAGCCTGTTTTGCCACAGAAAATTCAGAAACAGATCTGACCAATTTGGCAGCATTTCTTCTGAAAACAGCACAGCTGAAATCTCTCAACACTCTGGTTGAGAACTCGTAGCTCGCGAGCTTCCTCTGATGCCTCCACTTCTCACCATCCACAGCAAAGATCCCTTTTCCAAACAAGTCCGTCACTATATCTTGATTTTGCTTACCTTTTGAGTACTTGTCAAAGTTGGTTTTAAGTATGTATTCGATATTTCGCGTATCTGTTGTGTATATATCACTTTGATCCGGACCAAGAAGCCGGAAAGTTGGATGTGTTTTCCCAACTCGTGTTTGATAGTCATAGAGTGTGCTGAAGTGGAAGAGCTGATGAAAAGCAGTTCCTAACACCGGATGGTATTTCGGGTTGTTGATTGATTTGCCGGTGAAGATTCTTAGTATTAGGGCCGAAAAGGGTATGAACAGAAGTAGCAGTGTAGTTGTTATGGAGGTAAAGAGGACAGAGAGGATTTCCATTTCTGTTGAAGGCTGTGAAGAGGGAGGAATGTTCATATATTATCCACATGATATATATACACACACAAACAGATATGTGTATGTGTGCATATATCATGTTCTATATCATCCATATGTTCATATATCATGTGTATATCATCATATGATTCAAGGGTATGTGTATGTTAAGACAAAACATATATGCTCATATATCATCCAAACGTGTTCATATATGTTAATATCAAGTTGCATATAATTAATATCATATAATGTCATGGTCATAATGCTTCTGTGGGTTATATTTGGTTACTAGTAGGGACCATGAAGTGGTATGGAGATGTGAACCATCATGAACTCTCTCTCCTTATAATTTTATATAAACAATGATTAAGATAGATAGGGAATAAAACATTAACTAATTAATTAATTAAGCAGTAAGCTAGAGAATTATTCAACTGATTTTATTATTTTATGTAAAACAACGATTGAAATGTTAAATTTTCTGGTTATTGTCAACTTGAAGGTATACCTTACTAACTAAGAAATTGATCAAGTCTTATTCGTGGTACACTAATTCAATATGCACTGCAATCTACAAAACTAAAGTCATCATTCTTTTTGGTAAATTCTGACCACCTTAGCCGTTTATTCATGTAGTGTTGCGTTGCATATGAATCAGAGTTGACAATGACTAATAAAAAATTCTCCATTCTCAAAACAAGAAAGTAGCCTTTTTGTAACAGGAGATAATGTCGTGTACATCTAACCTTCTGTGACCTTGCAATAGTGGGAGTCTTGTGTATGGTATAGCCCTAGCATATTAGATAGAGCATAACACCACAGCGCTGTGAACTCAGCCGACTGATCATGTGGGCCTCACAGTAGAGCTCACATGATCCAACGATTTAGCTTGTACAATCGCAATTAGGGATGGCAAAAAATCCCCACCCAGGCGGGGGCTTGCCCACTCCGCCCCATTTGGGACGGGTTTGGGAACTTATTATATAAATAGGGACGGGGATGGGGCCTGCTTTGAAAATCCGGTGAGATTTTGGGGTGGTTTCGAGGGAGGGTTGCCCCGCCCTGAATATATTATAAATTTATTAAATTAACTTTAAATACCATGATATATTACTAAAATTGGTTAAGTATATATATTTACACACGGGAGGAAACCTAGCCCTCATTTTGTGCCTTAAGTCTTGTGGAAAAAAAAAGAGCCGCTAGTAGGGATGGAAAAAATCCCCACCCCGACGGGTCCCCGCACCCGTTCGGGACGAATTTGGGGAATCGATTATGTAAATGGGGACGGGGATGGGGGCTGTTTTGAAAAACTCAACGGGTTTTGGAGCGTTTATGGGGGTGAAAATTAAACGGGGATGGGGATGGAGATGAGGATGGGGAATGAGAGCCCCTGTAATACCCCTAATTTTCAAAAGGATAGTCTCGGTATTTTGTTTAATCATTTTCTGTTAATTAATTGTTTTCTGTTCATTATCTGTTCATTAATCGCTTTCTGTTAATTAATTGTTTTCTGTTCATTATTTGTTCATTACTTGTTTTTGAATTATGTTTAATTGACTTTTTAAGGATTTGACTTAATTGTGACTTGTTTGAATTATGGTGTTTTAATTTATTTAATTGATTAGTTAATTGTATTTTTGTATTTTAATTCTTTTAAATGCTTAATTGATTTACATTAGGGTTTAGTTAACGTTTACTTTAGGGTTTTGTTTTAGAAGTCAAGTCTTGGTAGCCGACGTAGATTTAATTAGGATTTTCTATGGGCCGGCTAGGTTCACTGTAGGGTTTGGATTGAATTTAGGTTTTATATAAACTTATAAATATACGTATTAAGTTCTGCCTAGGGTTTTTAGGAAACCCTATTCACGACAGTGGAGGCAGAGAAGGAACATAGGAGGATTACGGCCGTTTGCCGGAGAAATTTACGAAGACGACGTTGGGATTTTTAACCGAAATCTCAAAGGCAAGTTCTAATCCTAACTCTCTCCCTTAGGCTCGTGTTCTTTGCATCTCTAATACAATTCCAGGGATATATAAAGGTTTAAAATTAAACTGGGTTTGCATGTCTGAAATAGCTAAACCTAAATGTGTTGATAAGTTGGTTATTGTTTACTTTGAACTCTTTCTTGTGAAACCCATGTTTTACTCTATGTTTTAATTGATTTTAATTAAATAATTAAGGATTTAATCAACGCTGGAACACCTTGGGAAAATATTAAACTTAATCTGGTTCGCATGGGTGATCACTTGAAACAGTATGGTCATGAGTGAGTAGTTGTTCCGGTTTAGGTCCTTCTTGCATAAGTTGTAGTCTAATTGATGTTGGTTGATGAATTAAGAGTTTAACTAATTCTGGAACACACTAGACCTAGTATTAGACACCTAGGAGCTTTAAGAATAGAGGGCAGACGAGCAAAATGTCAGAAAATAACCGGCGTCGGAGAAGACGGAGGCTGGGAGGAGTGGAGGCGGCTCCACCCTTCAATGGAGGCGGCTCCATTGAAGTGGAGCCAGCTCCATATGTTATTGGAGGCGGCTCCAATAGGGTGGAGGCGGCTCCACTTATTTTTGGAGCCGGCTCCAATGTGGTTTTTCCATTTTTTTAAAGTTTCAGCGAGAGTTTTGCTTAGGTACTTGGATTTTAACGGTTCCAGTTTAATTCAAAGCCTTAATGGAGGTTTTCATAGGTGTCTAAGAGCAAATTAAATCTCCCAAGAGCCTTGTTAATGCATAATTAATCACCTTGTATTATAGTTTGAACATTATAGAATTCTTGCACAAGTTAGTATACTGTTTAAATGTGAAGGTACAAAATTGTTCAACATGGTTTTAGCAATTTTGTCGAGAATGATTTTATAGATTTAAATCATGTTCCAGTGGGGAAATATAAGCATGTCAGATTACAGAATTATTATATGCTTATAGAGGATAAATTGATTTATACATGTATTATATATAATATCAATTCTTGGATAATTATGTAGCGGTATAAACTAAGCATGTCCAAATATATATTTTGATTATGATTAGCACGGATTAAAGGATGTCTATACTTATTCTCTATGCAATAAATTATGAGAGAATCATGCAACGGTGGTATAAGACAAGCATTTTAGTTTACAAAGTTATATTATGCCTTGTATGGAATTAATTAATGTAAACAGTTATTTAAATTTTGCCAGTTATTGTGGAACAATTGATGCCTATATGTAATATATTATTATCAATTGTGGAATTTATGGATTAGTTGGTATTTACATATATACTTGTATTGCCAACTACTGGATGGATGGATTGTATGCACCGGTATGGGACGGTGACATACTAGGGACGGATTAGTTTAAAAATACTACATCCTACCTACATGGAATAAAGGAATGGATTTCAAAATAAATCCTACTTATGCTCAAGTTAAAGAAGCTGCACAAGCTGAATGACTAACTAGATTACTTGTTATTTAAGTTAAGTCAAAGAAGCTGCACAAGCTGAATGACTAACTGGATTCTGGATGGATAGTTAGGATCGGACTTTATATATATTTTTATGGTATCGCGATATGAGCTTGAGTCTCTAAGTCGTCGGTTAGGGAGCGTATATGCAGTAGGATGCGTAGCTGGATATGGGAGGTTGTGGTGTACCCTGTTAGGTCTAGGTACTCATGCCCACCTATGGGTGCGTTTTCGCATGTTACTTTCTATTCAGGTTGAGACCTTCTCCATAGTCCAGTGAGAGTCCTGTAGTGTGATTATACATATGTATGGACTATTAGCTATTGTTGAATTGGTTAGAATGTACATGCGTATCGAGTCTCTGCTTGGATTGTAGTAGGATAGAACTTGTTCGTGGGCCTGACCCACTCCTATTTTTCAGGTGTACGTCAGTTCCAGGCTTGAGCTTGTTCGTGCTGTGCAGAGACGATCTTCCATTCTACCGACGATGTAGGATTTCTTTCCAGATCTTGGATTTGGGTTTTATCTTTCTTTTTACTTTCATTTAATGTGAGATTTTTATTAGGGGTCCACTAGAGATGGATTCCCGAGCTGTTCAAATTATGGATATTTGGTTTATCAACTTTAAGTATTTAATTATTTAAGGAGTATCTTTTAGTTTCTTTTCAGCTTTAAACTTTCATTTCGTAATTCATTTTGTATTCCATGTTCGCTATAACATATCAATTGTTTGATACTCCCTCGAGTTTGGGCCTGGGCCTGATCAACCCGTGTCTCGGATCCGAGGGGTATCACAGTTGGTATCAGAGCACTCCAGGTTCAAGTGTCTCTATGATGTTTTCATATTAAGTCTTCCGCGTAGCGTTCTCTTGAATAGAGCTTAAGTTAGGATTCATTGTATTCCTTATGGTTCATATATAAATGGTACTGATGTCTGTCTTGTCGTGTTAACAGATGGTTAACGCTAGAAATGGACAGAACATGCAAGGAACTAGGAAGGAAAGGAGAGCGGCACGTAGGCAACAATATCTCCTACAGCGTCAGCAAATAGAAGAAGAGCAGCAAATGCCAGGGTTTCAGGAGGAGCAGGAGGAAGTTCAACAGACTCAGGGTCGGGACAGAGATCCAGAGATTCCTCCTCACCTCAATGACCTCGTTGCTCGGGCTATAGAGGCTGGGGTAACAGCTGCACTCCAGAACCAACCACAGGTTCAGCAGGCACCTGTACCAGCACCAGTGGTTCAGACGGATTCTTGGGGAAAGGCTAGGAGCGCTTTCACAAAGGGGAGTCCACCTGTGTTCTCAGGCTCAACCGATGCGAGAGCAGCTTACCAGTGGAAACAGGACATTGAGCGTCATCTTCGTTTGGTTCAGTGCACGGAGGTTCAGAAGTAGATGCTTGCTACTTTCAAGTTAGTTGGGGATGCACTACAGTGGTGGGAGTCGGTTACCACCTCAGAGGAGAGGATGACATTGTCTTATGATGAGTTCAGTGCTCGCTTTGATGAGAAATATTTTCCCTATGCCGTCAGGGCAGCTATGAAGACCGAGTTTCTAAGTCTGCAGCAGGGAAACATGACAGTGGCGGAGTATGAGCAGCAGTTCACACGTTTA